ATAATTTTCAGCTACAATTAATGGCACTTTCATTTAAATTAATTCATTCCAATCGTGTTAAAACGGTAATATTAAATTAAACATCTTTATTAATACATTCCGCGTTAACTATAACGAAGAACATAAGATTTCTTAAGTCTCTCCACAAATGTTTTACTATAACTAACATAATTTACTATTCATATTTCCATTACAATTATTACAACAATTATTATTACAATTACATTGTAGTTGAGATTTATGTTCTTAATCTTTTTATGTATCTAACTTGTGATTAAAATATGTTCATACAGAAGTTTTTCGAGAGGACGTTCATCTGTCACTAATATTTAAGATTGGGAATATAATAAAGGTATTTAAATTGTAATTTTAACTTTAAATGCAATATTATATTTTTTATTAATTACTCTTTTATTTAATTTGAGATTGTCTAAATATTTAAACGGAGATCTATTATACTTTCAGTCGACAAAATTTTCAATATGCGTATATCATCACCTTCAATTTTACTATTTCTTATTATTTTAATAATTATTTAATATTTTTCTAATTAGATAATAAATAGTTACTTATTTTTTATAGTTAATAGATACTACTGTATAATTTCAATATGAATAATCTTGAAACTGCTCTGTCATGAACCAACAACACTAAGCAAATTTACCAAACGCAATCTGAATATCCTTTATGAAAATTAATTAAATTTTCACTTATTCACATGAATAAAAATTAAATTAATCACGAATTCATCTGATACTTCATGAATTTTTTCAATTTACATATCAACTAAATAATTTACGAACAGCTCATTAAAATCATAATTACAAATAAACAAATAATTAACAGTTCTATCGTCAGATTGTTGAATAAATAAAATCGTCATTGACACATATTAAGCAAAAAATAAATAAACGTCATGAACTAACATAAATATTTTCGTAAGCGTAATTGACCTTTAATAAATACTTCAAAAACAATTTCATGAAATTTCGTAATTGATTTTTTCATGTTATATATTAAATAAATAAGGGTAATTATTGATTACTGAATTTATGTATACGTTAGATGTAAGTAATTTTATGCTTTAATATAATACGTTAATTCAAATACTTTTAATTTGACTTTATGAATTTATTATTAAAGAATTATATTACTATTATAATATACTATTAATATTTGTTTTATAAAACAAATATATGACATGGATTTATATATGTATATTTAAGCCAATAATTTTAATATGTATGAATATTTTGAACAATATTTATTATAAAATAAATATACATCATGTATAGTTTTTATTAGACTGATGATTATTTTTATATGCATTTGGATTAATAAGATAAATTTAAATGCCCATTAGGGTGTCCAGGAATTATTTGTGAGAGTATTCAAATATTTATTCACAAATTCAGACAATATTTTGGTAACCATATTTATTTAATAATAATATGACATAGTATTGAGGATTTCCTTGACAACTTAAATTTCGAATTATTAATTAATGTGATACATCCCATTAAACTAAAATAAAATTTTATAATATTTTTATTTTATTTGTTTTGATAAAATCTAAATATTTATAATAAAATAATAATTTACTTAATTTATTGTACTATTAACATGAATAATAGCACAACCTTGAAGTAGATCCCGTTATTATGGTTTTAGCTACATTTAACGCCGTGAACGTAACTCAATTTCATAAATAAATTTTTATTATATTTTATTATTTAAAATATGTAATATTACCACTACATTATTGAATTATTATTAGTGAAATTTTATTATTATAAATATTTATGTAAACCAATTATGTAAATTTGCTACTAGCATTTTTTTGTGGATTTCAGCTTTTTAGTAAAAAAAATAACATTTTAATTAATAATTATGGTAAATATTTGTTAATTAAAAACATTATCTTTTATCAGTTACTTCATAGTTGTTCATAATTCTACTTATAAACTCCATTAATTTCGTGAAATATTTTTTAACATATCACTTGAACTTAAACCCATAATAATATATATCACATCTTTATTTTAAAAATATGTTTGGTGTAATATATAAATTATTGCAATTAAAATTAAATAATAATATACCAGATGGTGAGATGCCTAATAATAGAGAAGTACCGGTTCTTTTTGTGATCAACATAACAAGTACAAAGCGAGATAGTTTAAATTCATTTTTATTTAAGATCCTATTAATATTTTTAAAAAATGTCATATTTATAAAAAATTCAATGATATTACGGTTAATATTATAGTATTACTCTTTTATTAAAAACCGTACAGAACCAATTTGTAGAATAAATTTAAATTCAATTATATCTAATTCAAAACTAGTTAAAACAATTTATATATTTGTGGTGTAAATTATATTTTTCCCCGTTATTTTGTAAATGTTTAAAATACTTTAATTGTGGTGTAATAATAATTTATTTCCCGCTGAAATTTTTTTTCTTTTAACTTTACAAAAATAAATAACAAGTAAAAACCTCAAGTAACTTTTCGCCGACCGATTTTAATTATTTGACAATAGTTTTTATAAATTATTTTGATCTATGCTTTGTCTATTTTGATATATAATTAGTTAAATTAAGAGAGAGATTTCGTTTATACTTCCATATTAACTTCTTTTTTGTTATCAATACTCTTATCAAAAATTGTACATCAATTTTTTTTTAATGATTTTGTTGTATTGTAAATTTATGAACAGGGAATAAAATAATATTAATAGAATTGATTACACTACTTAAATGCTAATAATTATTATTTTAATTGCTATCTGATTTATTTAAATGAAAAATTGTATATTTTATACTTGATTCAATACAAGATAAAACTTGATAAGAAAAATAAAATACTGATTTAAAAATTCTTATTAATAAACAGTGACCACATTTTGATTCATTCAATCATCAAATTAAAAACAATAAAAATTCATCTCGAATTCCACGGAATATTTATACAATTAAATTAAATAAAAGTTCTTATTAAAATTATTCGAAACCAAATAAATTTGTTTAAAGATTATTCGGACTGGTAAGATTCATACCGAAAACCATACTGAATAACTAAACAGCTGGTTCAAAAGTTCTATTATCGTTGAAAGAACGAAATTTAAAATATATATATTATAAGCATATCCGTATAAAAGTATTTTGATTATTTATTATGAAATGATAGTCAATTATTATTTATTTTATTTATTTTGATATATGGTAGCGATGTGTAATCTTATACGAATTTATTTAATACCGCTGTTTCCGGAAACGCTTCCATCTTGAAGGAAGTCTGTTACCACTTCGATAAAATATTCTAATATTTTTTATTTTTTTTCTAGATAAGAACTTTTTGAATTAAATCAGAAAAGATTTTTTGTTTCTAATAAATGCACTTTTTTACTTTTTCCTTGATAATAACATATGGAAATATATTACTAATAGTATTTTTTTATTACAAATGTACAATTTATAATACGGCGATAAGATAGTCTGTTATCCATCTTTGAGGAAGTATGTTAAAAGTTACATAAAATATGATTTTATTTTTTTTTATAACATTATTTTAATAAAATATGAAAAATATATATTTTTTTCTTAAATGTCCACTTTATAATTTATTATGGAAAATACTTCCTTTAAAGAAATAAATGTATAGAAAAGTCAAAATGTAAGACATTAGATGATGTTCTGGTATGATTTACAGTATTTCTGAATGTCTATTGCTATCACAAAAAAATATTATATTTCATAGGATAAGATTAATTAATATAGTATCTGATCATTGATTATTTATTTTCTTATTATCAAATAATAGTCCGTTATAATTTATTTTATTCCTTTTATTATAAAGCGGATATGTAGTTTATATGAATTTAAACTTTATTGAGCACCGACGTTTCCGTAAGGACTTTCACAATGGAGGAAGGGTATTACAATATACATAAAATATTCCCTTAATTTTTTATAACAATTTTTTAAAATTTATTCGTAATAATAATTTATTTTCCAAACTCCAAGTTTATTATGCGGCGATGAGTATAGTTTTCAGAAATTAATATTTATTAATTAGCAACGTTTCCGGAATAGCTTCCATCTTAGAGGAAGTGTATTACAATATACATAAAATATTCCGCACTATATAAGCAATAGTTTTTTTTTTTTTTTTTTAAGGTCTATTTTATTATATGGCGATGAGTACAGTTATCTAAAATTAATCTTTATTTAATACTGACGTTTTCGAAATCTCTCCCATTTTCCAAGGAAATTTGTTACTATTTAGATGAAATATTTCATTATTTTTTACTGTTAAATACAACATTGTTTACTGTCATTACAACATTTTGAAATATATTTGTAGTAGTATTTTGATGAAGACATATCCGAAATAGTTTTCATCATCAAAGATCTGTGTTACGATTTACATAAAATATTATATTATATATATATTTTGAAATTAAATATGAATTTTTTTTTTCTTGTTAACAACTTTTATAAATATATTCGTATTAGTATTTAGTTTTTTAAATGTTTACTTCATTATGCGGAGATGGGTATTGTCATATGAATTTACGGATTCATTCAGAAGTACTTTAAACAAGATTAGATGTATAAATGAGTTAATTAAAGAATGTAATAGTATTACTAGAGCTACTATTCATAAAAATCGCACGTGCATGTTCCTAAATCTTTATTTAAATTCCATCGTTTACGGAATTGATTCCATGTTGGAGGAATAGTTTAACAATTTACATAAAAAATTCCGTTAGTTTTTATTTTTTTACTTTATAATAACTTTTTGAATTAAATCTGGTTTTTTTTCCAGTATCCACTTTATGATTTATTACGAAAGATATACTCATTTTTTTTTTTTTCAATGGATTTAAAGAGAAGTTGAAATATAAGTTGCTGGATAATATCCTAGTATGATTTACATGATTTATGTATACCCATTGCTATCCTGAATATAATACTGATACCGAATTTCCACACATCACTTATCTCTAGCTAGATAGATAACACTGGACTCACCTGGAGACACGGCAGATAAGACGGGAGGTAGGACGACCGAAGTCGGTACGGGCGGTACAGGATCCAGCCTCCAGTTAGTCACAACGGCGTCCCTGGAAGTCGGGCTGGAGTCCTGCGGTTCGGGCGAGGTCCTGCACAAGCTAGAGACGGAGAAGTCGCTCATCTTGCCGTTCTGGAGCAGCATCCTGCAGCTAGGGCGGCCGCGGCTCGAATCGCCTCCTCGTCATCCCCTCCCCCTGTCCCTTCCAACGTCGGTGGGCGTGGCCTATATCCCCACTCTTCCCTCTCCCACCACGCCCCCGGCACGCGGTGAGGATTTCGCTATGCCCTCATTCAAGGAAATTGGCACATTCCAAAAGGTACCCAGTTACGAAGCAAGTTTTTCGAGCCTGCTCGTCCGTCACCTGTCATTGTTGATTTACTTATTTCAGAAATTGTCTATATCTCATCCTATTCATAAGGATAAAGAAGCTGCCATATTTTCTAACACATATAAATTATATATTCAAGTTAAAAAATCACCCAAATACTATATTCCAATGGTGCAGATCCATTTTTTATCAAATTATTAACATCCGACTCAAACTTCATGAATGATTTTATCTTATCGAAACCTACAGCATTTTTATTTACAAAATTTTGGAGAAAATGGAGAGTTTTTGATCTGTCGATCGACAAACTTTGTCTATTTATTGAAATAATTAAAACTAAAGAACAGTCATTTGCTTTCTACTTAAATTATAAGATGATTTGAATACTAAATCGGAAAAAAATATGGCTACAAAATAGTTGGGCCATTTGGCGCTACCTGTACCTCCACTATGTCAAAATAATGAAGTTATATAGATCAAACGGCCAATTATTTTTTAAGTATATTTTTCCCACATTTCTTCTCTATTTGTGATCAAATTATCTTACGATTCAAATCGAAAGAAAACGGGCATCCATGAGTTTTCAGTATCCGAATATATTAATTGATTTAATTGAGAAAACACCACATTTCTAAGATTTTTCTTAGAAAAAAAAGTTGTAAGTTACGATAAGATGGAACCATTCGTGAAGTTTTAGGATGATATTAATAATTTAACAAAAAATAATTTGAATCACGGACTTCTTAGTCATAAATAAACTCTGTAATATGGAACTTTTATATTTTTGTAATTTTTCTTTATTTACAGATAAATTGATAACGGGAAAATAGGATTTGTTTTAATGATATTTGAATAATGAAATGATAACAATAATTTTTCTTTAAGAAAATATGTGATTTAGAAAAATTATATGATATATATTTTTTGGCTATAGGTGCAGTGTTGGTTGACTGTTGTCTGTGTGTGTCCTAGAGAATTTGGGAACCTCAGCGGGTAAGCACTGACTTCCTAAGCTTAAGGTCCCGGTTTGAAATCCTGTTCAGAACAAGTAATTTTTCAACAGGTGTGGATCCACCTTGGGGTCTGAGGACCCCGCCGTGGGATACCCAGCCACTATAAATTAATTAAAGGGGAAAACTTGGCGGCTGAGTATGATTCCGACCCGATAAGGTCTCTGCACAACCATTTGCATTCAAATCCTTAAAAAAGATTAAACTAAAGTTCAACCCTTCATGGGTTGTAGTGGTACAGATTTTTTTTGGTCCTGTTTCGTTCTATTAAAAAAAAATCAAAATCATATTTAAAAGTTTTAGAGTAAAAACAAATATAACATTATTTTTTATTCATAATTTTACTTGGCCTACTTCACTGGAAACGATTTGTGGTTTTTGTTTAATATTCATTTCAATATTATCGACAATATTTTATTTTTATTTTGAACGAAAAAAAAAAATCTATTGCTACATTATTAATTAAGAATCCTAGGAAATAAAAGGCAAAAAGAAATGACATTAAATTATTTTGAAACGAAAGGCAAGACATGTTTCTTATATAACACTGACTGTGAGTTTATGCACAAAAAAAAAAGCTGCAAATTATTTTACAATGGTTTATTATTTCCAAACAATTATATATCTAAAGTAACATTACCTTCCTAGTAACAACGAAAAAGAAATAAAAGGTGATTCCAATTATTGGACTAAACATTTTTTTTTTTAATCATTAGTAATATGCTAAAAAAAGTAGCATTACTTGAAAAACTTTGAAACATCTTATCACAATATCCACAAAAAAGTGTATACTTTTTGAGTTATTCGGAATTTAATTTTACCATCCCTCGTAACTTATTTTCTAGCTTCTTTTCGTTGAAGTACATTAAATAGATAAATTTAATAAGGACATCAATCGGTACGTTCATTTAGGCGCTACAGTATATGGCAACACAGGTTTTTCTGTGGCCATCTTGAAAGGAAAAGGCGGATAGAAATATCGATGAAGGAGAATCATCCTCAGTCTAATTTTAAATCCAAATTTGAAAAAAAATCTATCCAGTAGTTTCGAAGAAAATGCGTGGACGGTGGAGGGACAAAAAAATTTGTATTTGTTTTTCGAATTCTACGTATCCTGAAACGTAAAACCTCAAATTTTGAGAGGAAGTTCAATTCAAAATGATTCATTATTGTAAAATAATAAAGAAAAATCTATACTATAATATTAATGTGAATAACAATAATGTTGAATGAATTTATTTTAAAATACAATGTAATGATATAAATACTTTATACTTTATCTGTATGTGGAAGTTTCCTTCCACGAGTGGTGAGAAAGGCTTGGGAGTTGGAGATCTTGAGTGAATTTTTTTTTTTTTTTTTCCAGATGTTGTATAGAAGCATGTATGTATGTTAGTTGTTACTTTCATTAGCTTAGTTCCTTTTTGTTTAGTTTAGTTAATATACATTTAGATTGAATATTTAATAGTTAACCGTTGCATTATAAAAGAAAATGGTCCGGGGTTACGGTCATAAATAGACTAAATAGTGGTAAAACTATTTTATTGAAAGCCGACTTTGCAGGTCTCCTTCTGGGCTAGAACGGACAAGATACAAAAAGATAGAGAATTGTGGCAGTTACATAATATTTAGACATCATTTATAAACAATGTGAATAAGCTTATTAAAATTATAAACAGTAAGTTAACCGTTAACAGGTCTTCTTACTGTTAAAATTATAACAGTAAGAAGACCTACAAAGTCGGGTCGAAACGTCGGCTTTCAATAAAATAGTTTTACCAATATTTAGCCTATTTATGACCGCAACCTCGGACCATCTTCTTTTTTAATATATATTTACTTTTAGTATTATTGTTTTTCTGTATTATTTATTTTTATTTATTGTGAATGAAGTGTGAATGTGCTCTTTGAACACTATTATAAATGTCCTTAATTGTGACCAGATTGTAAAATCTCTCAATAAATAAGTTTAAATAAATAAAAAAATTCTGTACAATATCCATTTGGATTTGCTTTATCGGTACATCACGAGAAAAAGATACGATGAAACCATCTAAGGAGTATAAAAGGGGACAATAAGAGTATAAAAAGGAAGAAAGAAGAGACGGTAAGTAGAGGCTGATTGAGATGTAAATACGATCGGAAGAGTATGGTCTGCTCTGAGTGGCTCCTTACGTAACCTCCGCTTCAGATGGAGACATTCACACTCATGAGTGAAGCCTAAGGAGTAACTCCTTATCTCCAGTCCTCCAGGAAATGGGTCGTAACCCGGAGGAATGGACTCTGGAAGGATGTAGAGGCACCAGGCTCCGTCGTATCTCCCGCTCTTGGATCTGAAGGCTATAAGCTTTTATGCCTATCGCTCTATCTCAGCCCACGTTATGTTATATACTTGTAAATATATACGAAATTTGGCACTTCTATCGGATCAATGAATATTATACATGGAAAAAAGTTTATTATTTTCTTCAATCCTTTTACTGAAATAATACTGATAAGACAACTCGGAATTATCGTCAATTCAAAAGCTTTTAAAGAATTTACGATTTTTTAAGAAACAAAAAAAAAACAATAATTATAATAGTAGAGAGAAGAAAAGTTAGGGTGATCAGTCAAATAACAAGGCAAAAATAAATGATTCTATTTATTTTGACATTAGCCGACGTTCCGACCTGAAGTTCAGGCCACCATCAGGGATAAGAAAAGAACCAGATAACAAGGTATGAGAAACATAAGTAGTGTAGGTAAAAAAAATATTAAAGTAAAATTCAGTTGTTCGAATAATGACAACAGTAAGAACAAAGAGATAAATGATAATAAGCGGTACAAAGTGTGGAATGATGAAGTAAACATAATGAAAAAAAAAAAGGTGACATAAGTATTAAAGTGGGAATCTTAGAATAAAATGTAAAAACAGAAAAATATGAAGTTATATAACTCTTTGTTCTTAATATTGTCATTATTCTAACAACTGAATTTTACTTTTTTTTTACCTACACTACTTATGTTTCTCATATCTTGTTATCTGGTTCTTTTCTTAGAGCTGATGATGGCCTGAACTTCAGGTCGAAACGTCGGCTAATGTCAAGATAAATAGTATCATTTATGTTTGCCTTCTTATTTGACTCATCACCCCAACTATTCTTCTCTCCATTATTCACGACAGTCAACCGTTTACCAATTATGAATTATAATTGTAGATTGATAGTGAATAATTGAAGAGAAGGTCTTCATTGGAGCTCAGAAAAGACTAAATAAATTAAAAATAATATTAATATAATACAACGTACATATAAAAAAAAAATTGAAAACAGTAATAATTTTTTAAAGAGAGAAAAAAAATATGAAGTTATATAAAGAAAATAATAGATTTAAATAGAAAAATTAAGATACTGTAAATATGTCAAAACATACTGACTACACATAAGATAAATAAAAAGTTAAAATTATGTAAATTATTAAAACAAGATGTGATGAGTACATTTATCAATATACAATATACACAAAATATACGTAGGGATGAGGAAAAGAAAGTAAAGGAAAAAAAGGTAAATGAGAGGAATACTGAGATTAGTGTTGCCAAAAATTGGTCTTGGTTTTGCACTTAGAAACACCAAGACTGGTAAAACAATCGATTTTTTAAATAAAAATTAAAGCAAAATAGTTAATTAATACTTGACAATTTTAATTATTATAAGCAAAGAATTGGTATAACCTATATACGTTTAAATTTAACTCTTCTATTTCTTTATTCGGGCTTAGTTGGTTTCTCCTATCTTAAAAATTACAAAAATATCTCTATA